GGTGTTAGTATATGACACCACCCTCTCTTCCCCACCACACACTGGGATTGGGTCCTGGGGGCTGAGCACTGTCCTATCCCAGTGCTAGATGTTGGGATTAATCTCTGGGGACAAAAAAACACCCCTTTGCATCTGGATTGGTCACCAGGGCCTTGGTGCTACCCCCTCTTGTCCCTCCCCATATGGATTGGGCCCTGGGTCCCAGTGCTATGCCCTGACTGGCCCTGCATGCTGAGATCAGGCAACCAATCCAGTACAAAGGGCCTGGGGCTCCCCACAGATCTGGAGATTTGGCAGTGGAAGAACAGTGCCACCACCCTCCCACCACCAGATTTCCAGATCTGTGGGGAACCCCATTAACCAGATCACATGAGGCCATGGGCTGGATCTGACCTGCAGGTCAAGGGATGAGACCCTCTAGTTATATTATTACAGTGATAACCAGATATAAAAAGACTATTAAATATGCAAAAAATAAAAATAAAAATAGGGAAAATGTAACCTATTGCTATTATACCCAACATGTTTAAGCCAATAGTCTGTTAATCAATGTATATAAATAAACACCTTAAAGCACTTGTTAATATGGGCTACTTGCAGATGTGGAAAAAGAAACAAAAACTAAACACTCTCCTTACTTTAAACACAATGCGATCCCAGACCTAGCCTGTCTGTCTTCCTTTCTCCTACTTTGGACGCTTTGGACCAGGCTCACTTGGAGCTATGTGGGGTGATCCTGCACATAAGACTCCTCGGCTTCCTATCTCTTTTCTTTTCTGACTCCCACCTGCCTAAATGTCTCTTGCTTCTGTCTATCTCCCTTTCTGATTCTTTTCTTACATTTTCACAGTGTTTTTTCTTCTTTTTCTCTGCTCTCTGTTCCCCCCACCTGCTCCCCTTCTGGTTTCTTAGTGAGTTGCTACTTTACAGCTTTTTTCTTACTGTTCTTTTTCTTTCCTCCTTTCTTTTCTGCTTGTTTGTTGCACAGAATTATCTTTTTCTATATCTTGTCTTTTGAGGGGTGCTCTCAATTCCCACCTTTTCTTTTTTTCTGTTTCTCCTTTATTCCTAACAGCCATAAGCCCCTCCCTGACTTTTTCATTTCCTGCCTTTCCCACTTCCCCTCCCCTCCCCTCCAGACATCTTTTTTTGGCTGCATTTCTAGACTTTTATCTTTGTCATTAATATACAGAACTTTTTCTTTTTTTCCCTAGCTTTGGGTTTTGAAATTAACCCTGTCCTAGTAGAAATGGCTGCTCCTACACCCAGCAGTTGGCATGGAGATGCCTCTCAAGACCTCCCCCTTACCCATGGCTTGAGGGTTCACACCTCTCCCTATGTCAGGGTTGAGGTTTGTGTAGGTGCCCTAGCTGGTCTCCTAGAACAGCGTAACATACATTACATAGGTTGTGTTAACATGGTCCCACTGATTTACCTGAGTGCTTCCACCCTGGTCAACAGGGTGTGTGCAGAGAGCCTGGACATCATAAGTGTACATTATCTTGTCACGCAACTAGACACCCAGGCAGTGAGGGTGGTGATTTCCAATGTGCCGCCACATATGACCAACTGGGAGCTGGCCAAGGAACTCAAGCCCTATGGGGTTCCTGTGAGTCCTTTTCTCTGTCTGACAATCAGAAGCAAGGACCCAAAGCTGAAGAATGTCCTGTCATTTTGAAGGCAGGTTTTCATGCTCCTCAGTGAGGGCCCATGGTCTCTGCCTCGGTTCTTGAACCTCATGTTTGACAGCTGGAGGTTTGTGATTTATTTTTCCTTGGGGGAGTCCATGTGTTTCCAGTGTGGTAGCTCTTCCCACCTGGCATCCTGATGCCCATAGGGGAAAATGACCAGAACATCAGCAACTGCAGCAGCACTGACAGATGGTGCATCCACTTCTGGGACACAGGCCCTGCCCAGTGTGGCTGGGAGCTCTTCCCAACCTCATTTCACCCCTGTTCCATCCGAGGTGGCTAGGGTCTCTGGCATGAGAGCACCATCCAGCAGAGGGACTGGGACTATTCCCCAGCCCTCTCCCCCTCCCATTCCATTTACGGTGCCCCCCCCCGAGCAGAGGCTTCACCAGGTGGACAGAAGAATGTAGTGGGGCGCATCACCCACTGATGCACAGATCCTAAAGTCTTTGTCAAGGCTGCCAGAGCTTTGGGCAAACTTATGCAACCCAAGGATCAAGGCACTTGGAAGATAGCTTACTACCTGGAGAAGTTTACACAGTGGGCAAGAGATGAGTGGGGTCTGAGGGGGTCCCTGGAGTACAGTAGGGCATGATAGGCTTTCCCTGACCTGTCTCTGCTTTTTTGCTCTGCTCTTGGGTGCTCACTCTTCCACCTACACCTTACCTCGCTCTTTCTCTTCCATACCCACATGCATGGCAGCCATGACCATTGGCACTTTTATCATCAATGGCTGTTGAGATCCATCCTAGAGCTCCTGTGCCAGAAGTGGCTGGCTGTCACCTTCCTCCATGACACGCTTTCCAACGGGCTTAACTAGGTCACTTGGCATGCTGCCTGGCAAGGCCATTTGTCCAAGGTCGCAAGTCTCCTACCATCACAACTACAGCATGATATGGTGGTAGTGTGGGAGGTCATTCCCGGCCACCTGCTGACTGTCCACGTCACCCTAGCACAACATCACCTGCTACTCATCAACATCTATGCACCCATTGATGGCCAGGAAAGGGTCGCTTTCTTTGAGACCTTGGCTGCCCTTCTACATGATGCTAGTGAGGATGATGACCTGTTCCTCATAGGTGGGGACTTTCACTGCACCACTGAGGCCTCAGTACCCCTGGGCCAGGATGAGTGCTGGTGGTCTCACCATGGCCCTCCTTGACTGTCTTTATGTCATCAGGCACCATCTGCCACTCCTGCGCAGCAGCCACATTGTTCCCTCGGGCCTTTCAGATCATGGCCTGGCCTGTTGTAAACTGATCCTGCCAGCTAGGGAGAACCTGTGCATGGGTACCCTATTAGTGCTTCAACATCAGCCTGCTTCTAGACTCCTACTTCCAGAACTACTTTGCCTACCTTTGGCAGGTCTGGGAGGCTGCACGACTGAGCTATTCCTCCTGGAAGCTATGGTGGGATGTGGGCAAGGTACAGATCTGGGCCTTTTGCCAGCAGTACACCTAGCTGGCCCCAAATGAACTGTGCCACAGTATTTGAGATTAGGAGGAAGATGTGGCAGTGGTCGAGGCCACCCTGCTGGTCGCTGGCAGTGATGTGGTGATGTGTGAGAACCTCCAGTTCTGCAGGTAATGCCTGCATGACTTGGCAGAGAGTGCAGCCCATGGAGTGAGGATCCATGCCTGCAGCCAAGAGCTGGCAGAAACCAACACCCCAACCCACTTCTTCTTCAACTTGGAGCAGTGGCGGGCAGCAAGCAAAGTCTTAGATCACATCAAGATCCCTGAGGGCTGGGTAATCACAGACCCAGGTGAAATATGTGAGCAAACTGTCCCCTTCTATTGAGACCTGTTTGCAGCTGAGGCGTCCTGTTCCAAGGCCATGCTGGAACTCCATGAGGACCTGCCATGTCTCTGTGCCCTAGAGGCCATTGAGCTTGAGTGGGAAATATCTCTGGAGGGGCTGGCAGTTTCTGTGGTTGACCTCACCTCTGGGAAAGCCCCAGGCCTCATCGGATTACCGGCCAAGCTCTATAAGACCTTCTGGCCTCTCCTCGGCCCCTGGCTTCTGCATGTTTTGCTGGAGAGTCTTACTGACAAGGTCCTGCTGATTAGCTGCCACCGAGTGGTGCTCATGTTGCTGCCCAAAAGGGGAGACCTTGGATGCATTAAGAACTGGTGCCTAGTCTCCCTGCTGTGTGTGGACTACAAGATTCTGGCCAAAGTGCTGGCAACCCGCCTTCGCACTATCATGGTCTCTATCACTAGGCCTGAGCAGGGTTACTGCATGCCAGGCAGGACCATCCAAGACAACCTGTTCCTGCTGCATGACCTACACACAGCCAGTGAACTCTTTGGCCTAGATATTGGCCTCATCTCTCTGGATGAGGATAAGGCCTTCAACCAGGTGGGCCATGCCTACCTCTTCCAGACCCTGGAGGCCTTTAGCTTCAGCACCCTCTTCACTGGGGCCCCCTGGGTCTCATACCAAGACACCTTCAGCCTGCTCAAGGTGAACGGCATGCTCTGTGTTCCATTCTCCTCATGCAGAGGCATCCATCATGGCTAGCCACTGTCAGGCATGCTCTATGCCTTGGCCATCAAGGCACTGCTACACCTGCTGTAGTGCCACCTGAGTGGTGTGGCCTTGCCATCGGCCACTGGCCCATCCATTGGCCCTCTGCTCTGACTATTGACGTATGCGGATGATGTGACCATCTTCCTTAACACCCAGGAAGATGTGTGGTCCCTGATGGATTGCAAACCTATGAATGTGCCTCCTCAGCCCATATCAACTGGGCCAAGAGTGATACACTGCTGCTTAGCACATGGATCAGCGTGACCCCTCCAGATTTGCCAGGGGGCCTCACCTGGTGCTGTGAGGGCCTCAAGGTCCTCAGCATGTTCCTGGGACCACTAAATTTCATGGTGCACAACTGGGATGGCCTTGAGGAAGGGGTGGAGGCCTGCTTACAATGATGGCACTGGTGCCTAACCAGCCTCTCCTACTGTGGACGTGTCCTCATTGCAAACAACCTGGTGACAGTGACCCTGTGGCACTGGTGCACCATACTCAACCCACCACCGGACCTACTCAAGAGGCTACAGCACCTCCTGGCAGATTTTTTCTGGGATGGGCACCACTGGCTCCCACAAGCTGTCCTTTACTTACCTGTCACTGAGTGGGAGCAGAGCCTGGTCGACCTGGCAAGCAAGGTGGCCATCTTCTACCTGCAAGCCCTTCAGTGACTCCTTTATGGCGAGGAGTGCCTACCCTGGCAACAACTGGTGTGCCAGTTCCTGCAGAAGGTGGGGGCCTTCAGCTTTGACTGGGAGCCAGCCCATCCTGCTGGACCTCACGCTTCTGAACTGGGTGGTGCTTCTGGCCTTCCACCATGGCATGTTATGAGCCTGGCAGGTCACCTTCCACCTCCAGTCCTGGGCCCGGCACATGGAGTTCCCACAGCTGCTGAGGGAGCCCTTGGTGCACAACCCAGCCCTGAGGCACCCTGTGCCAAGCCTGGCCTCTGCCAGCCTCATAGCTGCTCTCATCCAGGCATGTGTCCTGCTCCTGAGCCATCTCCTTGACCCTGCTCAGTTGGCCTGATTCTTGCCCAAGGCCCTGACCACCTGGCTAGGCATGCACTCTGTCCACAGTGTGCCACCCTGGATGACCATCTCTGGGCACACCAGGTCCCCTGCACCATGGATGCCCCAAGCAACACTTTTCCCATGCTGCCAGTCACCCCAGCCATGGCTGGCGAGCTGGCAAGCAGGCCTGGCACCCTGCTGACTCTCCCTGTACCTCCTGACAGTGACATGGATTGCCCCTTGAATTTTCTGTCACGTAGAAGCCTATATGCCTGAGTGGTTCACATCCACCATCCCCAGGTGCTGATGGGCCACCCCAAAACACCATGGCAATGGTTCCTAGGGCTGCCAGATTCCCCACTGGCCCACCCGGCTTGGCGCACGTTGTATAAGCCACCAACCACCAAGAAGACTGTCGGTGACCTGCAGTGGCAGTTGCTGCATGGCAACCTAGCCACTGGCACATTTGTGTCCCATCTTGACCTAGCTGCCTCAACAACCTGCCCCTTCTGCCCTGGGGGCATTGAGGAGAACCTCTTTCACACCTTTGTCAGCTGTCTCTGCCTGCAGCCACTTTTTATTGCCCTTGAACTACTGCTGTGGGCACTGGGCAGGAGCCTCTAGGAGACCACCTAGGTGTGCTCCTACCTGTACTGGCTGGCCGAGCAGGGCTCCTTCTTCCTGGCCAACTTGCTACTGGGTCAGGCCAAAATGGCCATATTCAAGAGCCACAACAACCAGCTTGCCAGGACCGACTAAAACAATGCCCTGTGGCTTTTTTGCCTCCTGGTGCAGGAGCACCTTTCACTGGAGTTTGAGCATGCTGTGCTCTGGCAGGTGGTGCCCACCTTTGAGGCACACTGGGCCCTTGAGGGAGTGCTGTTCCACGTGGAGGATGGCCGTCTTCAATACGCAGTCTGATGCCACGACTGATCTGGGTGACCGGGCAGTCTCAGTGTTGGACTGCGACTCCCAACTCGTGCCACACGCTGGGCCCTCATCAGGCTGCTTTTTGCTTTTTTTTCTTTGTGTAGGAAGTTGAAGGTGTTGTCACATGTATGTTTGGATAGAGCAGGGTAGGAATCATTTATTTATAAATATGACCATGTGGCCAGTGTTCCAACTGCATAATAGCATGTAAGATTTGACGTGGAATGTAGCGAAGGTGTCTGTCATGGTATGACGTGATGAATGCAATGATATGGTGTTCTTGGTTTGATGGTAATTTGTTTGTCTCTGCTTTTTAAGTGGCCAAGCTTTTTGTATCCCCAAACCCCTGAATAAAAAGTTTTGTATCCCCAAACCCCTGAATAAAAAGTTAAAAAGTCAAAAGTCCTTCCTTCCTTTAATTGTGCACAAGGGCTTGACTTCCTTTGTGTTGGAAAACAATCTATTGAATTCTAAATATCAGCTAGATAGTACATCATACTAATGGGTACATTTAGGTTACAGTGAGAAAGGGAGTTCACAAGTTTCCTGAAAGGCCTGAAGACAAAGTGATAACTAACTAACTTTGTCATATGTGTTTAGCCCCACTAGGTCCCTGTCTACATTGCTTATGGGGCCACATTCAATTTAATCAGACTCTTGACATGATCATCTGACACATTTAAAGCTAATGTGATTCAGCTTGTCCAAACAATGGCATTTTTCTGGCAGAACCTGTGCTAACCAGTTTGGCCTGTCAACACCTCATATGCTGCAAAACTGTTTTTTATTTCAGTGAATTCTGGTATAACGCAGGCAGCTTTTCCAATCTGCCTCAGCTGCCAGGTGGAAGAGATGGGGAACTGTGGATGTTTGAAGAGTTTAAGCCAAATCTCCCCAACTATTTTTTTCAACTATGTAGACTGTTGAAATTCAAAAGTTTATTTAAAATAAATTCTGTATTCTTTTGGGTCCTGTCCTATCTCCGTCTCTCCCGCACCCACCACCCTTGGTTTGGTTGTGAAATAAAACCTCAATAAACTTTGGCTGCTTGCAGAAAAAAATACAAAAATCTTTGTGCTTTACCTTTGAGCTTTACTCAAAGAAGCAGCACATTACCCGGTACTGCAGTATCTGTATAGATCAGATGCTTCAGTGGGGCTTTTTGGTGCTTTCAGCTAAAGCTGATTCAGTCTAAAGTGCCTGATCTATACAGATGTTGGGTGAGCTGGGTCCAACTCATGTGCTGCCTCTTCTGGTCATGTGCTGGTCTTGGCGTGAGAGTGCACAAAATTTAAAGTAAAGCACTGTTTTTTTGGGGGGGGTTAATATTTGTAAGCAACCATAGTGTCTTCACATGAAGAACCTATACCTCCTTGAGACTGTTCTTTAGGTGGTTTTAAAAAGATGACATACAAAATCCTACTGGCTACCAAATCCTACCAATCATTAGAAATATAGCAGCCCCCAAACCAGAGCATTCTCACTCGAACCATAGTCTCCTTGTATTTTTTCTAGAGGGAGAGATCTTTGTGGATTCTGATCTGACACATGATTCAGAGTCACTGTTAAAGGTTGCTTAGCATTGCACTCAGTTGTCCAGGTGTAGGTGTATGTACTGTATAGATTATTCATTTGTATCACTTTACATGCCTTTGTCCTTTTCTGTCTGTTCCCCACAGCTCAAAGCTGACAAAAACAGCAGGTATGTTTCTGCTGTGTAAACTTTTTAATGTACAGTGATGTGCTCTTTCAAAATTCTGAGCTAGCAATGGATTTTCCAAGGTGAATAAAAATGATCAGCCCTTCACAGTTTCACTGAACTTAGATCACTTCAGCAATAGCTCTTTAAAACTCCCAGATTAATTTTAATCTTTTTTTAAAGCTTCACATTCATTCAGCATTTTATTTTAACTGCAGTTTAATTTTTACTGAGATCATTAACAATGCAGAAGATTCAGTGAAGACACATGAGGTGAAATGGTAATAATGTAATATACTTTTCTTCCTAATGTAATAATGGAGCTTATCTGAATTCTTACAGTGTTGTTATATGAGTAACAGAATCACCCACTTGTTCAGTACAATAACATAGAAGCAAACACAATAAACTGAAATTTGAAACAATATTAACCAATACAGTAGCTCCAATAAAGAAAATCCATTCTGTGGTCCCTAGGTGGAGAGTTGAAACAGGTCGCAGAGGGAAATATAGTAGAGATTATAAGTACAGTAGCATGAATGTCTATAAAGTATATGCTTACTATTGAGCCATGGCCAGTAACCTGATTAATAAGGGTATGTGCAGACATTTTCCAGACCCAGGGTATAACCACAGGGATGACTTTAAGTCACATGGTTGTAGATAGGGATTGGTATGTGCATATATTTTAGAAGCCATTCCAGGAACCCAGTGTAAGTAATTTGGGGTTTAGGAAGGGGTGGGGTGGGAAGGATTTGGTGTGTGTTGGGGGGGTGACTAGTGGATCCATGAATTAAGTTGGGTCCAGGGCGGTTAGCAAGATCAGGGGGTGGGGGGGAATGGTCTGTGGGTGGGAGGTGAGTGGGTCTGCCAAGAGGGTTGTCCATGCAGGGTGTGGGGGTTGCAGAGGCGCTAAAAATAGCCTGGTCAGGGGAGGTGGATAGGAAAAGTTCAGTCTCAAGTCTGGAGAGAGTTGTTGGGCTTTTCCAACCCTCAAGCTATGCTTTGAAAGTGTACAGATATTCAACAGATAGGGCTAACCTGTTCCTGGTCCAAGTTAGTTTATTTTAGGTGCACAATCTTAGACTGCGCTCATTATTTCTGGCCTGATTTAATCCTCTCATGAACATCTGAACATATAGGCATTTAGATCACCTTAAACCTAGTTAGGCTAATCAAAATGGGGTCTGCTGTACCCTAAAAGTGTTATCTCATCTAAGCCACACTCCTGTTTATAGGGATCTGATCTTTAGTCCTTATTATGTACATACATGCATAACATCACAAAACTGATAAGACGAAACACATATATGTATACTCATGAAATAATGAACTGACCTGCAAAAAATATTAAAAGCATAAAATAACCTTTTATGCTTTATAAACATATAAAAGTACCTCTGCAGGAGGTGTACATCAGAATTTAGACTGGCCGTAGAATGTGGATATATAAAGTGGATAACAAATCAATCCGTAAATGTGTTTTCATTAATAAGGAAGAATTACATGGTGTTTTTTAATCTTAGTATATTTTAGGAGAATTCTGCCCAATAGTTAATAGAGTCATAGATTATAAGGGGGCTGGGAGGGACCTTACAAGATCTTTGGGTCCAGCCCCTCCCCCACACTAGGCAGGAAAGACTGCTGGGGTCAGGTGACCCCACTGAGGTGGTCATCCAGTCTCCTCTTGAAGATTTCCAGGGTAGGTGATTGCATCACCTCTGGAGGGAGCTTATTCCACAGTCTGGACACCATAACTGTGAAGAAGTTTTTCCTAGTGTTAAGCCTGAAACAGTTGTCCAGGAGTTTGTGGCCATTACACCTATTTTTTCCCAAGGGTGCTCTGGTGAATAGTTGTTCACCGAGCCCTTGATGTATTCCCCTGGTGTAGTGGTAAACTATAACTAAGTCGCTTCTCAGCCTTCCCTTTTTGAGGCCCAAGTCCCTCAGCCTTTCCTCATGTGGCTTGCCTTGCAAGTCTCTGATCATATAGGTGTCTCTTCTCTGGACTCTCTCAAGCTTTTGCAAGTCCTTGTTGAAGTAAGGGACCCAAAACTGGACTCAGTACTCCAGCTGCAGTTTCACCGATGTTGAGTGACGTGGAAGAATCTTTTCCTTGGTTTTGCTTAAGGTACATCGATTGATGCATACCAGAGTATTGTTTGCCCTGTTGGTTACATGATCACACTGATGGT